AATAAATAAAATCTTTAAAAAAAAAAAAAAAAAAAAGATCTTGACGGGCAGAGATGAGCCAGGTGTGGGGCAGTGGTGCCATTTCAGAAGGACAGCATCGCAGGCAGAAGAAGAGCATGAACCAGTGCATGGATGTGGGAAGTTACTAGGTGGGGAGTGTGCAGGGGAACCACCCAGAGCCCAATTTGGCTGGTAAGTATGGGCATGAAGGAGAGTACTGCGAAGTCTTGGAGAGAGGGTTAGGAAGGGGCCAGATCACAAAGGGCCATGAATATCAGAGTCAGGAGTTTGTACTTTATTTAGTAGGCAATGGGGAACTGTTGAGGGTTTTTGAGCAGGGGAGTGACATGATCAGAGCTGTGCTTTAGGAAAATGAATCTGGCAGCAGCGTGTAGAACAACCGGAGACATGGAACTTAGAGAGACCTGCTGGGAGGAAGACGCCACGCCTGGTGACTGGGGCATGGCTGGCGCTGCACGGGGTTTGTGGGGTGAAATGAAGAGACCTGGGGCAGCTGTGATAAGGGCCTTCCCAGGGACAGTGGTGATGGTGAGGCAAAGATGGGTGCCAAAGAAATCAGGAAGCGTCTCTGAACTGGTACACTGACTGAAGGTAGAGATGAGGACAGGGGAAGGGCTGGAGACCCCAAGGTCTCTGTGAGGGTGAATGGGTGGGTGACACGGCTCTCGACAAAGCAGGGACTCACATGTTGTTGCTGGCTTCAGGAGAGACATGCGATTCTGCTTGTCCAGTATTAGCCTTGCGCTGCTGGTGTTGTGGGCTTGGATCTCAAGAGAAGCTTGGAATTAGAGATTAATGCTTCCATTACCTGCAGGGAGGTGATGGCTGAAAGTTCCCGAGTGGTTGAGACCTCCTGAGAGACTGGAGGGAACAGTGGAGAGCTGGAGTTGGAGCTTTGTGCTGTGGCTACATTTAGGGGAGAGTGTAGGGGACAAAAGAGACAGAGAAGGAGGGCTAGAGACACTGTGGGGGCGGTGGGGGGAGTGCAGTGGGCAAGGCAGCCAAGAGATGTGTGTTTTCCCTGAGTGACCAGTATTCCAAGGCTTCCATGGGATGGCGCCTGAGGATCACAAGT